GGGTAAGTAAACACTTCAGGGGGGAATTCAGCAAACTTTCTGCTGCACAGACCCGAGCCACCTTTCTCTAGTATCCAACTGTATCGGGGTTATGTGGTAAGTAATGAAAAGCTGCAGCAAATAGTTCATCTGTCACACTTTTTTTTTTTTTTTCATCCACTTCTGATCTCTCTCTTATTGGGTTCTAAACTTGGGTGACCTCCCTCTACAACTTAAAAGGTAAAGGTCATTTGTAAAAGACTAAAAAAGGAAACTACATTCAATTTAAATATTTCTTAAACATAAATTGGAAATAAGTTCAAAAACAAGGGGAGTCTCTTAAAGAAGATCTAGTTGGTAAAGATCACATTCTAAAATACACATGAAGTATGATGACATATACCAAAGAATTAACAATGGCAGTTAAGGAATTTTCAGACAACTAAAAATGCTGTTCATTCTGAATTAAGTTTAAACCAAGTATTTTCTCTGTGAGCTTTTGTTCTTGCGGCTAAAGGTTAATTATTTTTAAGAATGCTGAATAAATATTATTCAGCTGTTCTCAGACTCCACCATAATCTTTCAGTTTGAGAGAACCAAAGAGAGGGAGGATAGCAGCAGCCTCCCTGCAAGACTGTAATGAAGACCACGGGAGGCATTTCAGGCACCCAGCAAGAGACCTGGCCCGGAAAAAGGACTCAGCACATGTCATTTCCCAACCCTGTCTCCGAAAGGCAAAATTACACATTGAAATAACACTATTAAGCGTAATTTTAAAAACTGCTCTGTAGATAGACTGCTGTCCATGTCTAACAGTATTATGGCTCATTCGCCATTTAGGACAACTCAGGCAAAGTCTCAAAAATCAACACTGCAACTCATTTTTAGCAGTCACGGTAGAACTAACTAGTTTGGCTGTAGGGCTTCTATGTTGTATGTGACAATGTTGACTGTTCTCCTTCTAGAAGCCTTTTATTAATATTTCCTGAGTTCTCTAACACCACCATCTCCTCATTCTTCTTGCACTGTCATTGCCTAGCTCCTGGTCTGTATCCTCTATGGGTTCCCTTCTTTCAGTAAACGTTCACATTCTCCATAGTTCATTCTGAGCCTGGTGTTCTTCTCATTGGGAAGTACAAGCCATGAGTAACCTCTTGGTCCCTTTCAGGGTCTCATCAACCACATCTCTGCCATTACGTCCCCCAAAACCATGTATCCAGCCATTGCCTGCTGAATACCTCCACCTATAAAGCTCGGAAGGGTTCAAACTAAATACTCCAATCTGAACCTGCACCCTAAACCTTTCTTTCTCAGCTACTGGCAAAAATGATCACCTGGTTTCCCAAATTGGAAACTCGGGAGACAACCTTGCCTTGGCCTCTTTTATTCTATTGCTTACACTGCTTTATTGGCTCTGCATGCCTCCAGGAAAAAGCAACAGCTCCTAATACGATGACATATACAATTTCCATCACCATCTGCTTTCTTGTCAATCTTGGTGGTCTTACTTTTCGCCCCTCCTTGATGTAAAATCAATCAATCGCTTATAGACACTAGCATGTATTAAAATGTTTGTTGCCTTTTGCCTTGGCTCATACTTTAACTTCTACTATCTTCTTAATTTAGCCCAGTTTATTCCTAATGTGGCTGATGCTTATCTTGTACAGGCTCAAGCACCCATCACATTCTTGAGGAAGACTTTCCTTCACGGATCCCCTCAGACAGCTATCTTTAGGGGTGCCATGGTAAACCTCCTGTGTCTCTAATATTACATTTCTTTCTTATTGTGTTATCTGTTTATGTGTTTATATCTTCCCCAGCAGATTTAGCTCATCTCAGCAACTCAAATTCACAGGACAGTGTATGGCAAAATGTGTATTTGTTTGATATGAGTTCAATGAATAAATCAGTGAATACACAACAACAGAATAAATGAAGGAATGAGAAAACGAACAAACATGGGGTCTATATGAGCCTTGAACTTTGAGTGATACATAAACTGACCAATTATTTCAGCATAAACAGTTTATAATTTTGTAACAAAAACAATAATAGATACAAGTTTCTGATGACAAATATTTGTTAAGTGCTTCAAGTATATCATCTTAACTTAATCCTCACAACAACCCCATAAAGTAGATATCCTTTTTCTTATTTTACAGCCCCGAAACTGAAAGTGACTGCCCCTCCTCAGTGCAGATGACTAGAGACCTAATCCCCACAGGGGAAGAACAGGAATGCCAGCACAAACTGAGGATGACAACACTCATGTATGGAAATTGGAAATTAAGTAGAAGTCTACCTACTGAACAGGAGACATCAGCCTTGTCCCTTAACCTGGCTTGAAGAAAACACTAACAGCGAGGCTCATATATGCTCCATGCAGAATAGAGAATCACTCCCTCCAGGAATATCAACACATCCTAAAGAAAAGACCTAAGACTACTGAAGTTGAGAGGGGGTCTTTCAATTAAATAACCCAGCCAGATCATCTTTCTTTCTTTCTTTTTTTTTTTTTTTTAAAAAGAGACAGAATCTCACTTTGTTGCCCAGGCTAGAGTAAATGCTGTGGTGTCAGCCTAGCTCACAGCAACCTCAAACTCCTGGGCTCAAGCAATCCTCCCGCCTCAGCCTCCTCCCGAGTAGCTGGGACTACAGGCATGCACCACCATGCCTGGCTCATTTTTTCTATATATATTCTTAGTTGTCCGATTAACTTCTTTCTATTTTTAGTAGAAACGAGGTATTGGTCTTATTCAGGTGTCAAACTCCTGACCTTGAGCAATCCGCCTGGCCTGGCTCAGCCTCCCTGAGTGCTAGGATTATAGGCGTGAGCCACCGCGCCCGGCTCAGATCACCTTTCTTACCACTTAAAAAGTGGTAAATAAATTTGCATGGATAATTTCTGGTTAATATTCTAATATTCTATTCTTTTTATTTTAATATCTCATTCTTAAATATCAACACAGACAATCTGAAGATTCTTCTACATGAAAGAGAATAACATAGAGAAAAAAATTAACTTGGATGGGCCGGGCGCCGTGGCTCACGCCTGTAATCCTAGCTCTCTGGGAGGCCGAGGAGGGCGGATCATTTGAGCTCAGAAGTTCAAGACCAGCCTGAGCAAGAGCGAGCCCCCATCTCTACTAAAAATAAAATTAAAAAAAAAAAAAAAGTTAATTGGCCAACTGAAAATGGAAAAAAAAAATAAAGGAATAAAAAAAACAAATTAAAAAAAAAATTAACTTGGAGCAAACGATGCTAGAAGTGAATATGCTAGAAGAAACAATGCTAGAGCAAACATAATGCTAGAAGTGTAAGAAAATATGAAAAAGCTTTAATACTTTTAAGGGATAAGAGTAGATATTGTGCAATATAAAAAGAAAAGAAGGAAATTAAAAATATGATAGCACAACGTTAGTCTAAAAGATCTAATATGTGACTGACAGAGCTCCAGAAAAGAGATATATAAAACATAGGGCAGAACATTCTCAAAGAAAGCTTTCAGAATATTTTCCCAGAATTGAACAATACCAAGTTTTCAGATTAAGAAGACTTATCATGAAGCCATCATAAAATTTCTAAATAATGAGAAAAAGAAGAGCCTAGACAATTTCAGACAGAGGGACAAATAGAAAAAGCAATAATACAGAGACCAAGTGAGACCAGGGGGAAGAGAGCAAGTCAAAAATTGAGGGGTGAGGAGAGAAGAAGAAATAGTCAAGGGCCGAGAGACAGATCCTGGGTGGGGGATCCAACAAGAGAAAACGACAAAGGGGAGAGAGAGACAGAGAGAGATAGGGACAGAGACAGGGAGAGAAGGAGAGACATGGGAGGAGAGAGAAAGACAGTGATGGGGGAGAGAAACACAAATGATGGCGTTGAGAGATGGGCAGAGAGACAGAGATAGGAAGAAAGAAACAGAAACGGGAGAAAGGAGGAAGAGACAGAGACAGGAGAACAGGGCAAGGGAGAGAAAACCAGGGAGAGAGAGAAGGAAGAGGAGACAAACGGGGAAGGAGAGAGGGATGGAGCAAGAGAGAAAGAGGAGCAGGAAAGGAGAGAGAGACACAGAAGAGGGAGACAGAAATAGAAACACGGAAAGAAAGAAACTGAAACAGTTATGAAGTCTGGGGAAAAAGAAATTCTATAATAATGGGGAAAATGCGGTATACTTTAAAGTTCATCTTTCGATAAATGTATACCACTGTCAGTAGACAGTAAACACTGAATACTGCTTACAAAAATGGGATAACTATATAGAAAAAATAAGGGGGTTAGGAGTGCTGAGTATGCATGCTATGGTTTAGAGCGACAAGAAGTAAAAAAGGCAATTCTCACACTGCTCAGTGGGAAGTCAATTAAAACTGAGTAATCAAGAAAAGAGGAGTGAAAGTATGTTATTTAAAAGGCTTTCGTGGCAGCAGCAATTAGTGGCAGAGAGCAGGAGGGCACCTGTAAGCCTGTGGAACTATTTGACTTTTGAAAACTAAGTACTTGTAAACCTTCAACAAATATAAAAAATTATTTAAAAAAAAAAAAACCAACAAGTTTACTGCAAATAATAGTCAAAATACATTAAAATATTAACTCTAATTTTTAGAGTCTTCATGCCGTATAACTATCCTTGCACAGAATCTCTTACAGAAAACCAAGCAAACAACAAAACAAACTGCAATGACTTTTTTTTGAAAGTGTACAAAGAGCTCGGGCAACCGTACCACTTGGTGTAACGAAACCATCACTTCCAAAGATAAGAGAAATAACACAAATGATAATTCACAATCTACCCCTCTTTCAAAGCCCTGCCAATTACAGAAACATTCCACAAAAGGCTCACACAGCCTCCCTGTAGCCTGCTAGAACTGAAGAAATTCTAAGTGTGGTTCATTCTGAGCAGGTTTCATATCACATCACATTGATTTATAGCGAACTGAGAAAGCAAGAAATAAAAACATCAAGCTTCTTAAAAATCTAACTCATGCTACCATTTTTTTTTCTAACTATGACATAAGATTAACCTTAAAATTCCTATTCCTGATTCCTTGAAGGAGTGTGGCTTGGCAACCCGCACTTACCCTGTTGAACACTGGCAGCATCATGTACAGCTTCTCTTCTTGTTCCTTCTGGGTCATGTGCCGGGGAGGGTGGCACAACTCCGTGAAGAGCCGACGCAGGTGCATCAGTCCTAAGGCGTTGTCCTGCGGGCTGCACTCCTCCTGCCGCGGCCGCCCCATGATCCTCTTCACCATGTTCATCTTGGCTGGCTGGTGAGGAACACTTCTAATCCTGCAGAAAGATGGCAATACAGAAACGGTCAAATGCCATCATCTTGAGCAGGTGAAGCACGCATGTCGGAGTTTATCGAAAGTCTGCAAAAGAGGCCGGGCTCGGTGGCTCACGCCTGTCATCTTAGCACTCTGGGAGGCCGAGGTGGGCGGATTGCTTGAGGTCAAGAGTTCGAAACCAGCCTGAGCAAGAGCGAGACCCCGTCTCTACTATAAATAGAAAGAAATTAATTGGCCAACTAATATATAGAGAAAAGATTAGCCGGGCATGGTGGCGCATGCCTATAGTCCTAGCCACTTGGGAGGCTGAGGCAGGAGGATCGCTTGAGCCCAGGAGTTTGAAGTTGCTGTGAGCTAGGCTGACACCACGGCACTCACTCTAGCCTGGGCAACATAGTGAGACCCTGTCTCAAAAAAAAAAAAAAAAAGTTTGCAAAACAGAAAATTATGTCTAAAATTATTTCTTTGTACATCCTTAAACGGAAAAGACAGAGAAGCAAAGTTAATTTTGATGTATCTCCCTGAATGACAAATTATGAATCATGGCACTCAAAAGTTCTCACTAGCCTTGCCACAATTTGTATTAAATATAAAACGTTAATCAGATAAGTAACAAATGTTTCCAATTAAGTTAGTTATATCAAGCTCAACAAGGATCAGAAATCTTACTAATACGTTACTTAATATTAGTACATTAAATATGAAATGTCCAGTTTCGAACCAAAAACGTAGTTTATTATATCTCAAACAAGAAGCAATACAATTAATCAAAGTATGCACCTAAACTATTGACATAGTATTGCTATCTTAACAGTATTCAGGTAAGGGTGTATGAATGTGTATTAAATCCTAATATAAAATGTATCCCTTGCTAGAGCTGTAGTTTAAAAATACACAAACTAACCACTGTGTTAAAGTATATACAAAATCAACACCACCACGTTTTCAGAAAGCACCATTACTCCTTTTTAACCACTACTAACTATGCCAGCAATTAGCTAATTCCAGACACAAAAACAGGATATCTTACAAAAGGAACCAGGAAGGCTGGGAACCAGGAAGACATTATGGATGTGCAGAATCTTGATGCAAGGCAATTTGCTTTTGAATCTGTAGAAAAACAGGCATTACCTGAGATTAATTTTTAATTTTGCTGCATAACCACACAAGCCAGTATGCCATTTCTTAAGAAATAAAAGACTACTGCAAGGCTAGAATGTTCTTTACTAAACATCTCCCTATTGATTTTTAAAACTGTAAAGAGGACATGCATTTTAAATACACTTGCCCTTGAGAATTTTGAGTGAAATCCATATTTGGCTACAGCCATATGCTTATGCACTCTAGCTTCACGGCAACAGGAAGATGGGATATGGTATCATAGGTGAGGAGCAGAGTGTAATTTGTACACTTTCCAATGGCCAACAGCAGGAAACAGCGCTTAGACACATAGGCAAGGAGCCCAGGAGAACACTTAAATTACAAAACAACAAAAATTAGTCCAGGTCATGGATGTTCAGCATATTTCATTCTTGGAAAATAGGTAAGTCTTCCAAATATAAATATTAAAATCTCAACAAGCATAGTCAAATAACTTACTGTGTGCTGGTATTTATGGTCCTGGAAATTGCCACAACAAAAAAAAAATGTGAAGTAAACTATAAAAATTTTGTAAATTAGCTAAATTTTAGATTATGCACAGTTTTGCTTTCTTTTTTGTTCTTAGTCTTTTTATAATCTAGAGATTGTGGGTAGGACTCAGGGGATTCATGATCCTCAAATACTTCAAAAATTTTTGTTTAAGAGATTCTCCAACTTTCAAAGGGGTCTACATCATTTAAAAAAAAAGTCAAAAGTCAAGAATCACAGTCTAGCTAATTAACATATCCATCACCTCACATAGTTATCATTTTTAAGAAAAATTTGGGGGTGAGAACACTTAGTATCTACCCTCTTAGCAAATATCAAAGCATACAATACAGCGTTGTGAACTATGGCACATTGCTGTGCATCAGAGCTCCAGAATTTTCTACCTCTGGACCAACATCTCCCCATCTTCCCCTCCTTCCAGCCCCCGGCAACCACCATTCTACTCTCTACGTCTATGTGTTTGACTATAGAATATAGACATGCAAGTGAGATCACAAAGTATTTGTCTTTGTGTGACTATGTCATACTTAGCAATATAAACCTCAAGGTTCATCCATGTTGTTGCAAATGACAGGATTTTTTTTTTTTTTTTTTTTTTTTGAGGCAGAGTCTCACTCTGTTGCCCAGGCTAGAGTGCCGTGGCATCAGCCTCGCTCATGGCAACCTCAAACTCCTGGGCTCAAGCGATCCTCCTGCCTCAGCCTCCCGAGTGGCTGGGACTACAGGCATGCGCCACCATGCCTGGCTAATTTTGTGTATATATATTAGTTGGCCAATTAATTTCTTTCTATTTATAGTAGAGACGGGGTCTCGCTCTTGTTCAGGCTGGTTTCGAACTCCTGACCTTGAGCAATCCGTCTGCCTCGGCCTCCCAGAAAACTAGGATTACAGGCGTGAGCCACCGCACCCAGCCAGGATTTCCTTTTCTTTGAGGATGAATACCATTCCCATGTGTGTGTGCACACACACCTCATTTTCTTTAGCCAACCATTTGTCAAGGGACATTTAGGCTCTTTCCATATCTTGGCTATTGGGGATAATGCTGCAATACACATGGGAGTGCAGATGCTCTTTGAGATACTGATAAAAGGGTTCCCTTTTTTCCACATCCTGGCCAACATTTGTTATCTTTTATCCTTTGGATAACAGCCATTCTAACAGTGAGGTGGTATTTCACTGTAGTTTTGATCTGCATTTCCCTGATTAGTGATACTGTGCATCTTTTCGTACACCTGTTGGCCATCTGCATGTCTTCTCTGGAGAAATGTCTACTCAGGTACTTCATTTTTAAATCAAGTTTTAATCTGGATTTTGCTATTGAGTTGTATGAATCCCTTATATATTTTGGATATTAAACCCTTATCAGATATATGGTTTATAAATACTTTCTCTCATTCCATAGGTTGCTTTTTCATTTTACTGTTTCCTTTGCTGTGCAGAAGTTTCTAGTGTGATGCAATCTCACTCGACTATGTTTACTTTTGCTGCCTGTACTTTTGGTGTCATCCCTCTCAAAATCACTGCCTAGACCAATAGCTAGAAGCTTTTTCCCTACATAGCTTCTAGCGGTTTTTTGGCTTCAGGTATTACATTTAAGCCTTTAATTCATTTTGAGTTCTTTTGTTTATGGGATAAGGGTCCAATTGTATACTTCTGCATGTGCATGTCCAATTTTCCTAAAACTATTTATTACAGAGACTGTCTTTCACCACTGTATGCTCTTGGCATCCTTGTCGAACATCAGTTGACTATAAATACACGGATTTATCTCTGGTATATCTATTCTCTTCCACTGTTCTGTATGTCTGTTTTTATTCTAGTACCATACTGTTAAGATTAGTATAGTTTTGTAATATATTTTGGTATTATGAGGTGTGATGCCTCCAGATTTGTTCTTGCTGTTCAAGTCTGCTGTCACTATTGGGAGTCTTCTGTGGTTCCATATGAATTTTAGGACTGTACTGTTCTTGTAAAGAATGCCATTGGCATTTTGATAAGGATTACAAAGAATCTGTAGATTGCTTTGGGTAGTATAAGCATTTTAGGAACATTAATTCTACCAATTCATGAACACAATTTCTTTCCAATTAGCTATGTCTTTAATTTCTTTCATCAATGTTTCATTACTTTTGGTATACAAGTGTTTCACTTATTTGGTTAAGTTAATGTCTAAGAATTGTATTCTTTTTGTTGCTATTTGCAAATGTGGTTGCTCTCTACCTTTCAGGAGGCCCCCAAGACAATAACAACCCACTCAAAAGACTGTAGTGAAAAAAACTTGGATGAGAATCCAAGCCTTTTAACTTAACTGACTTACTGATGTGTCTATCATAAATTATAAAAATTCTTGGAAACTGTGGCTCTAGTTAGCATGTTTGTTTATTTAGCATCAAGTAACAATCAGAATGTGAAAAAAAAAATCTTTTTCCAAAGATCTACTAATCAATTTTCGCTTTACTTTGAAAAACCACATGATCACATTATGACAAACATCACCTAACTATACATAATCAAGCTATTGTACCATGGTTATTTACTATGTATCAGATACAAAAGGATACATACCAATCAGCTAAAAGTGACAAAGATTCTGTCTTTGACCAAACTCGAATCAGGCTCCTCTAAAATGTCTCCTCACCGAGGCCCTGCCTTTTGGGCTTCAATCTTCTCTATGCATTGTCCAATTTTAGCAAGAATTCCCCCTAAGTCAGTTTAGCCAGAATCCCTATCCTGCTTATCTGATCACCCCCAATATCTGATGGCATCCCCTCCCTCCACCACGCCCCAGGTGATGGCTGATGACCCTGGCCTGCCTTCAGCAAGAATCTCTTTGGGCTGGTTTAGCCAGAATCTGCCTTTACCCCTGGATGTTTCCTCTTGGCAATTTTCCATCCACGGATCCCCACACCCTGCTCCTCAGCTATAAATTCCCACTGTTCCATACTGTGCTGGGAGCTGAGCTCAATCTTTTTCCTCTTCTGCAAAACCCCGCTGCAATGATCCCCACACCCACCATGACAGTCCTGAATAAAGTCTGCTTATTGTTTTATTTTTTATATACTGTTATTTTATTTTTTTAATTTCAAAATATTAAGGGGATACAAATGTTTTAAGGTAGATGGATCACTTTTGTAATTCTTGAGGTCCCAGCTAAGTGTGCCCATCACCAAAAAATAACAAGTGTCAGAATGAATATATATATATTTTTTAACAGGAACTCACTGGGTTTACTAGTATTTCCCAATTACTCAGATAATCTCGATGAAGGGGGAAAAAATTCAGATTCCTCCTTTGCTCCTAATTTGCCAAAAAACACTTAAGTTTATCAGATTTCTGAATCATTGCTCTGTC